GAGTAAAGAGTTACAACAATCGATGCGGGATGTAACAAATGCATGCACAAGCTGCTCAGCCGCCTTTGTGGTGAGATACTTGCGAATAGCACGAAGATTGCGGAGACTGTGGATCGCAAGTTTAACACTTGATGATACTTGTGACTCCATGGTCATATTGGAGTCAAAAATAACTCCAAGATTTCGAACTTTCTTCACTGGAGTAATTGATGACGAACCAATATTCAGATAGGGGGTTACCGACTTGGCGAGTTGCTGCTTGGAACCCAGCATAACAAACTGAGATTTGTCGTCATTGAGCTTCAAGTAATTCTCCTTCATCCAATTCCTAATGTCACCTATACAGGCTTCAACACGAGCAATCCAGGCATCAACTTCCCCTTGTGTGGGAGAACACGAAAAGTATATCTGCGTGTCATCAGCATACATATGGTGCTTGAGATTATGCCTCTTGATGATATCATGAAGGGGAAGAGTGTAAATGTTGAAGAGTTGTGGCCCAAGTAACGATCCCTGGGGCACAGAGAAGCCAAGATGAACTGTTTTAGAGACAGCACTGCGTACACAAACCCTTTGCGATCTGTTTGAGAGATAAGATGTTAACCACTGGTGAGCCTGTCCACCAATGCCCATAGACTGAAGTCTCTCTAGGAGTATAACATGGTCGACCGTGTCAAATGCACTACTCAGATCGAGCAGAATTAGCCCAGTTACTTTTCCACTATCCATTTCGGTGAGGATATCATTTTGCACTCGTAAGAGGGCAGTTTCAACACTGTGTTTTTCTCTGTAGGCTGATTGGAAGTTGTCTTGAAGGTTATTGTCATTCAAGAAGGACTGAAGACGAGCGGATACTATGCGTTCGATAACCTTCGATAGGAAGCTTAGATTTGCCACAGGTCGATAACTTGCAAAGTCTTGTCTGTCAAGATTCGGTTTTTTCAAGAGAGGCTTCACGAGAGCCTGTTGCATTGAGGCTGGAAAGCTTGCACATCGAAGAGACTTATTAACAAAGTCTGTAATATATGGTGCAAAGTCGTCAATGCATTCTTTTAGAAGAGCAGTAGGAATTGGATCTAACTCACATGATGATGTTGGAGAATTCATGACAACCCTCTTGATCTCACTAATAGAAGTTTTAGCGAAATCAGTCAAAACTGGAACAGATGATAACTCACAATGCTGTACACACTGTCCTGACGAAAGCTCGGCATCAATGTCATCACGGATCTTGGTGACCTTGTTAAAGAAATAATGACAAAAGTTATCAGCCAGTATTTGGTCAGAAGAAGCATCCGGAAGAACAGTTTCCTTCTTTCGGTGCAGCAGAGCGTCTACAACAGTGAAGAGACGTCTTTGGTTTCCTTCGCATTCTGCAACACACTCTGAATAGTATTCAGTTTTTGCCTTTTCTATTTCTTGGGAAACAACCTGACGCTGTGTCACATATGATTTGCGGTCTTCTTCACTTCTAGTACGCCTCCACTTGCGCTCAAGGCGTCTTCTAAGGCACTTAGCAGCATGGATTTTCTCAGTCATCCATGGAATCGAAGGTTTGATGATAACACTTCTAGTCTTTTTAGGTGCTAGCTTATCAAGAAGACTAGTGAGAGAGAGATCATATCTTTCGACAGACGAAGAGATGCTGCTATCCTCAATGTCAATTTCTGACAAAGATTCATGGACTCCAGATCGGAATTGTTCTCTGTTCATTGATCGTAGAGGGCGAGTTGTGACAGTCCTGCGAGAAGTAGACGGCTTTCTTAAATCAAGGTTACACTGGACAGCGTGGTGATCAGATACTCCAAGGATAACAGATACATCAGAAACAAGAGTGGCTGAATCCCAAGTAATAAGCAAATCAAGTGTATGGCCATGTAGATGAGTCCCTTCTCGTACAAGCTGCTTCATTCCGTAGGATGAAAGTATGTTCATAAACTGCCTTGCCCGTACGTCATTGAAATCGTCGACCCATACATTGAAGTCCCCTGTCAGGACAACTTCGGAGGGATCAAGAACAAATGAGTCAAGTAGGGTAGCAAACTCTTCAAGGAACAGACTATAAGGTATTCGCTGGCCTTGCTCTTCCACTATGTCTGGGCGATAAATGACAAGGAGAATAAGTGAACGGGATTGGCATGAAACTCGGGCTTGATAAGCTTCAAATGACATGAAATGTTGTACAGCTTCTGACTTGACCGACAGTGAAGATTTGAACAACAGTCCGACACCACCTCCTCCTTTTCCTTGTCGATCCTTATGATTAAAGGTATATCCCTCAGGTATACAGTTTCCCAAAATAACATCGTCGTCATCCTTCAACCATGTCTCAGTCAACGCGAGGATGTCAAAATCATTATCAAGTACAAATTCAACGATATCGGTAGTCTTATTCCTTACTGATCTAGCGTTCAATGTACACATCTTTGCCGAGAGTTTAGTAGGTACTACTGATATTAAGTTTCTAAAGTCAGAAACACGACATGAAGAATGATGTACACGATGTCCACGATGAGTTGGTTTCACTGAACATATGCCATAGTCCTGTAATATGTGATAGGTATTCAGTGGTATCCTGAGATCAGCACACTTGGGTTGAAAAGACAAAAGGTCTTCTCTGGTGTAGGTGATTGTAGGCATTGTCACAATAGAAGCTAATAGGATCAGGAGACTCACAACAATAGTCACCATGCCGATGCTAGCCATGGCTGTCTATTCATGTTCTAGTCTAACAATAGTAGAGAACATAATAGTCATGGACATGAATACTATGTGCATCAAGCACTGTAATGGTTGACCATGGGCTCATACAGGAACATGAAGAAAACATAAATCAAAACTGTAGGTGTTCCAAACATCTCAATCCATCACAAAAATGATCTAGCTGGATCATGGAGTGATACTTAAAAGACTGCTGATGAATTCAGAACACTATTCCTAAAACTATCAAGAAAAATTCAACAGAATCACAGAGCTCAACAACAGTGCAACCTCCTGGCGCAACTTAATTAAGAATTAATCCCTTTAATAGACTTTAATAGACTATGAACTTTGTTTCCAAATTTGAAAATGGGTTTAAAGTTACTTGTCAGGTATTTTAGGAATGGTGATATCGGTCTTTTAATGATCCATTTAAGAACAATCTTCTGACAAATATTTAAAACTGCACATTTAAAAGAAAAGTAATTTATATTCTTTGTACAGAAATTATATTAGGGATTATTTTACTGTAGAAATAATGCAAAAAATTCATGTTTATAGCTATTGTAGGCCTTGAAACATATTAGATCTCAAACGCTCTCTAAGGTGATTATGTGAAATTGGTATCTGTTTTATTGAGAGTTTGGATAGTTTTCGACCTTGATCGACATGTATATTAGTGGCAAATTGTGGATATCAATCGCAAATTTTATTGTATACTTTATTTAGTAAATGTATTAATGAACAGAGTGTTATGATAAGAACCATCACGAATATGTTAAAATATATAGAGAAGGGAAATGAAACTATATCAACACAAGGCCTTCTGTCAGTTCTGTGTGTTTTTGTTTTATTTTTTCAAAATAGTACATAAACATATACATAATTTAACAATTATTTCTTCATTATACGTTATTATAAAGTATTCGGTACATTAAATATGATGCATACAAATACAAATATTTGTTAATGAAAAAAGATAAATTACAAAAACGCAGGAGACCGCCATCATGAGCGGTGAACTCCTCTCTCTCTCTCTCTCTCTCTCTATCTGTCTGTCTGTCTCTCTCTCTCTGGTTCATTGCACCCCCCCCCCCCTCCTCGTAGCCCGTACCTAGTCATTCCTTTCTTTCTCGCTCTCCATGGTGACGCAAAATGCTTTATGATTATAATCATAGATATAAATTGTTCTTCACTATCAATATTGACTCGACTGGTCATATTTTGCAATTGTCGTGTTATAGTGGTTTATTATTTCATTCTATTCTTATGCAATCCATGGTTTGAATGCCAGCCCGGCATGAACCTCCTTTGGCAAGACATTAATCCACATTTACCACTCTCTACCCAGGTGTAAATGGGTAACTCACAATTGGTCGGGCAATAATAACTGGGGGCATGCAGGAAGAGCAGTATCAACCCAGTTGTCCTATATAAGGCCCAATTATTAATTTGTTTCATCATTTATTCATTTTCAATTTCCAGGGCCAACTAGCACATTGTGTGAGGAGTACGGATCAGACGAAATGAGATCATCTTCAGTCCTCTTCAGACTGCTTCCTGACTTGTTCTTGATCTGCAGCAGATAGCATGTGGTGGTCGACGGCAGGAAGGAGAATATACACGACTGTAAACACTCTTCCTATTACACTAACTGACTTAAGCATATTATAGCCATAGCCATAAGGCTGCCGATAGGACCGTGGACTGAAAACCTTAACAAGAACATCCCCGCCCTATCCCATTGATTTAATCCTGTTTTTTCTGACCATTAACATGATTAAAGACAGTTTATGATAGCTGAAGAAGTTTAGTCAACCTTAATAAAGCCATTGCCTCCTGGAACTGGTGATATATGTATTAAACCTATGGGGGTGTGCATTATCGCTAGTTAACGGGTTAAATTTCTCAATTGATGTACTATTGTTGTGTGCATTATGTATCATATCAGTGCATAGTGAGATAGGAGAATCACAATGTCGGAATTTGAACGCAAAGTTTCACGCAATTTGCAGTGCCCCGTTTGTTTCGAGCTGCTTAGTGACCCGAAGCAGTTATCGTGTACACATACTTTCTGTAAGAAATGCCTTAATGATATTCTTAAAAGCTCTTCAAAACATTCTCTAACATGTCCCATCTGTCGAAGCGAAACATCTGTAAAGGGTTGCAATGTCTCGAATCTCAATACTAATGTTCCTCTTAAGTATCTCATTGATGATGTGAGGAATAGCCAACAAGTCTGTGAAATTTGTGACTCAAAGTCGAGAGCTATACATTTATGTTGTGAGTGTGGTAAGAACATGTGTAACACATGCCTTGAGAATCACAACAAATGGCCGCCTCATGTCAAGCATAGAGTTGTGAGAATAGAAGACGTCAGAGAGGGAAGGGTGGTCCTCGAAAAAGAGGTTTACTGCCAGGAACACAAAGCAGATAAACAAAAACACATCTGTACTGATGTGTGTGTCACCTGTAAGAAGTTCATCTGCTTGAGATGTAGGTTGCTGAGTCATGAGAATCAAGGCCACACAGTTCGGAATACTGAGGAATACAATGCTTCTACCGAGACACATATTGAATCTTTACAATGCCGAGTTGAGACGAAAGTTACAACCATCAAGAATCACGTGACCTGCATCAAAAATCAGAAGGAGCGTGTCACTAATCACATTGCCGGAAAAAGGGCGAAAATCAATGAGAGTTATAAAAAATTACTCAAGAAATTAGACGAGAGGAAAGCAGCATTAGACAAGCAGTTGGACGCTCAGGAAGAGAAATTATGTAAAAGATTGGATGAGATGCAAGATGTTGATGAGAGTTTGATTACGAGTATTAAGAGTGCGAGTGTGTTAGCGGGTAATAGCATGAAGGCTCCATTAGAAGGTGATATCATTGTTATCCGTGATACACTGTCTGGTGAGCTGAAGAATGTACTAGAAAGGGATGATCCAGAGAAGAAGATTGCTACGGATGTAGCTGATCGTGCAGAGCAACTAACATTCACACCCAACACTCAATGTGATCAGTTGAACATTGGTGAAGTCAGGTTCTTGAAACGTGAGTTGGAATGTGTTGTAGAACTCTCTAACAAAGACTGCATGGATGGCATGGTTGCTACACCCGATGGTAGAATGGCAGTGGCAAACAACACAGGAGGAATCGATATCTTCTCTGCTGATGGTCAGCTGCAGAAGACAGTCCTCAAGGATGTCAAGATCCGTGAAGTAGGGTACCTGTCTGATGGTCGGTATGTCGTAGAAACTAACAACAATGCCATCACCCTGTACACACAGGAGTATGCGAAGCTGGATGTAATGTTTGACACACTGAGTGGTGATGAAGGTGGGATGTGTAGTATTACTGTAGACAGTAATGATCTGATCTATGTCGGCTACTGGAAAGCCGGGATAATCCAGGTGTTCTCACCAGCAGGTGGGAAGGCGATTAGGGAGATACCATGCAATGATTATAATCCTATACTGATCAATAGTTATAATGACGTATTTATCATTAAATATGGTTATACAATAGCTATAATTGATAAAGATGGCTATGTAAAACACAAGGTAGAGAAGAAATCAAAGACTTACGCGTGCGCTGCTGTGACTCAGAATAATTCAATCCTGATCGCTTGGGTCGATAAGGATAAGATGTTGGTTAGTATCGATGAGTACACCAGCGAGCTCAAACACGTCCAGACTCTCATCTCTGATCACAAGATTGAGAAGCCTGAGGAATACTGGTACTATGTCCGCGAGTTCAGATCAGGAGAGATTGCTTTCTGCACGTCAAAAAGACTCTATATATTTAAAATAACCATCACACCATGCAGTCCATGAGTGATAACAGTCCCGTTTCAGGCGACTCCACAAATATGCAATGATTTAAAAATGTATCCTAACGTGATGATATGACTCTCAATTATCTGAAGGGATTTGTAGGCAAATTCTCCTGAAATACAAAATGACTTTTGATTTAATTTAATGTTAAAGGTATGATTTCAATTCCTCAGATTCATGTTTGTGTCCAGTTTTCTTTAATTCTTGTTGTTTAACGCAACAGAACGATACGATGATCCCCTCCGATTCACAGATTAGTAGCAAAAACTGTTCATTCTATTACATAAGAGTATGTTTGTGTATAGAAAAAGCCTCTGTCGTCTATTAAAATGAAGCAAAGAAACGGTGATGCCCGTCATCTGAATTCTTATCATGATGTGAAAAAGTATCTTATTGTACTTATTGATAGCCGTCAATATTCTGGTCATAAACACAGAGTAGATTACACATCACGACTTTGTCATTAATATGTATTTCATACATATTTCACGTAAATGTATTTATATATCACATGTGTTATATATATTTTTAAAAGCATAATGACGTACATTTAAAGTGTATATAAACACAAGTATTGTATGACATACATATTAGCGTACACACGGATATAATGAAGTAAATACATGATAACAAATATATATTGTCACTTGTATCTTGAAACGTAACCAAGGTGGGATCATTATACACCATTTACTGATTTAGGATAATGCAATATGTTTGAATGGTTAAATTATAGAATAGTTTTAGAGACACGAAATGATCTGTTCCATCGATCAGACCAAATCGATGGCAATGTAAAACTGGACCACCGATGGAAATGAATCGAGTCAATTCAAGTAAAACGAGCTGTAACACCAAATTTTTCACCTTGTGTATCACGTGAGTTCTCGAAATAAACAGTTTGTGATTTCTGATGTCATAGGGTTTACGGAAATAACCGCGATAAAAATGTTATCTACCATAACACAAACTTTCTTTGGTTTTCACCTTCCTGATATTCGTGTCAAACATGATTTTTATATTCCTGGCTCATTTTACTGATTGAGGTGTCATATGAAAGGGCAGAAAATGAACTTTCTCGAAATGTGATTTTCTCTTCGGAAGTCAGATACCATTCACCAAATGACTTTTTGGTTCTCTTTCTTCAAATTATTTTTAATCACTCATGCGTGTAATATGCATCATATGAGTTGCATCAAATGAAAGAAGAGGGTCTAAGCTTTACAAATATGTGTCATTTATTAATTATAATTGTGATTCAGTTACGATGAAATATCGATAATTCTCGGATTTTGCTTTTTCTTGGACGCACTGTGTATGCTTGTTTTCTTCTGCTGGAAATGGCACTGTTTAAATCAAAACTGTCTTATTTAATTATGGCATGCTTATCTCTTCATTTTAATTAAACGTTGTTTATAGAAGCTTACGTTGAACCCAAATACTAGTAGATTTATGGACGTGGATTTGATTATTGCTATTGTGTATATACCTCATTATTAGTCCTTTGAGATGATATCATTATATAATATGTTATAGTATGATCAAGAGAAGTGAAGCCGTTGGTATGGTTTGCTCAAGATTGTTACAACTGAAGTGGCATTTTTAGTAGACATTGATAGGGTCAATATAAAACCTGTCTTCAGTCAAGAGAAAATCAAAGTACTATTGACTGATTTCCTGGAATAAATGTATTTACTCACATGCTGTGAATCGTCATAATAATCATTACCTATATCTTTACTAATGTTTTAGAATAATATTTTAAATCAAGTAAGACAACAAGAACCTAGCCCTTGACAGGTCTTTGGCCTCTGTCAGCTCCTCCACTCTGAATCTAGTTATTCCCTTTTCTTTCTTCATTTTTTCACTTATCAGCTTATGTACATGTATAAGTAAATGTATATATTCATGTATATATTGTTCTTAATTTGTATGTTCAATAATATGCTTTTATTATTGTTATCTTTTTCATGAGTGGAAGTAAAATTGAAACTGGACACTTATTTATGTTTATGACTATGAAGAAATGTTTAATGAAAAAACAGTAATTAGTATTCTAACTGATAATAACTATTTGCTTTGGTGGAATGTCACTGTCATGTAAAAAGATGAAGCTATATAATAATTAAGTTGTATGTTTAATATATGTATAGATGGAGATCATTAATGATGACACTGTATTACATGTTACTCGGTCGTCTTTAATAGTAAACCTTACACACAATGTGAAATGGAAAGAAAATGTTTCTATACTTTGTTGGTTACATGTAAATCTATTTGGGTAGTACCATTCCTGTATAATTATTTAATTCTGCAACTCCAGTTCTTTGAGAAATGACATTTTTATAGTGTTGAGAAAGTATAGGATTTATACGTCAATAGTTATGAGACTTTGTGGTAATCCCATAGATAATATTGTTGGCGAAGTTTCAACAGTTCAGGTTCTGTATAATATGTTGATTATTTTTTTTGGTTAAAGAATCATAATTAAAAGAAGCCAAAAAAGAGTATTCGTGTACATCACCGGGTAATCTCAAACTCCTAAAGCTTACAAAGTGTTTTGAGAAAATGGAACATAGTTAACCTAAGCTTAACAAAAACGCAATTACTCGGTGTATATATTTCGTTAAGTTCTTTAAGTTTACGTTGAATTCTGGTGAAACGAGTACATTGTCTTTTAAAGGAAAACTGAATATACATGTAACATGAATATTTCATTTAAAAACACATTTGTAATAAAATGTGAAAAATCACGCGAAGGATACATATAAACAATATAAAGAAAAACATCAGTATGCATATAATCATATAAGGAAGACGACCAATAATAATTCCTATCAAATTCAAATCAATTATGTTGACACTGTGAAGGATACTGCCTAGAATCAAATGTTGAAAGTTCAATATGTAAAACATAAGTCTTGATGTATACTGTGAGGTTTTAAATTATCATAATAGAAAAGGCTTTGACCAACAGACTACAGCTTGCTGAAGATCACTTGCACTGTCAGAAGTATATTGGACTGCACACAACATTTTGACCCAAACTCTACAGTTATATCTTGTCATATTTGGTATTTTAACTGCGTTCTCTTTTAGGAGATATTTGTACGATGATATTTTTTTGACTTGATGTACAAAATACGAGGAAGCTCAGAAAGTATTTAACCTTTTTTTTTTTTACCAGAACTCAGTCTTCTCTTTGACATTCTTTTTCGGACAATGTAAATTGTTTCGTAAGAAGAACAATAGAACAAGGATTGTTTATGTGAATGATTAGAAACATGTATTACAACTATAACCTAAAATGTTCTGTATGTGTATGAACAAGTTTAAGAAATTGGGATAAATTTATCATAACATGAAATATGAGGTAATGTAAAGTATATCATAAACATTGTAGAAACTGTTACCACAACAATAATTTTGTCTTTCTTTCTATAACCTGTGTATATATCAGTCTATATTTTGAGGCAAAATAAATCGTTTTATTTGAAAGCTGGTAAATCCCAAGCAAGAATATTGTCACTATTAATGTAAGGATATGGATCAATTATTAAAGTGCTGCTGCTGTTCAAAAGCTCATCCTAATTCCTTTGAAAGTCTCATTTGTCGCTAAAGTCCGTTTTATAGATGGTAGAATGTACAATAAATAACTGACAGTAATTCTGCTAATGGTGGCGAATGATGATGATCTGGGTTTTTTTTGTCCTGCTGTTTTCTGTATATTGTTTTGGTTGTTGTTCGTTTTTTTTTTTTGTTTTTTTTTAAATTTGATTCTTGAAACAGTAATCAACGATGGGAGCCCTTATACAAAATACAGAAGTAAATACTTATTTTTAGCAATCCACATGCATTGTTCATGGTCTGTTGTTACGTTATAAAAATCAAATGAATGAATGGAATAGATAGTGATAATGGCAGTGGTGATGTTGATTTTGACTATGTAATAGTGATGTAGAATAATTGATTGTCTATAGTTATGCTTTAAACGGAGTCTAATGATGATGATGATGATGATAAGGATTATGACGATAGACACATTGATAGTAATGATGACAGCGATACCGCAACAAGGTGTATTTTAATATAATAATGACGTTGATAATGTGATATTGTTGATTGCATAGATAATGATAGTGACGACATGATTGATGGGCATACTGATGATGACGATGATGATGAAGATTATGACGATAGAAACATTGATAGTAATGATGACAGCGATACCACGACAAGGTGTATTTTAATATAATAATGACGTTGATAATGTGATATTGTTGATTGCATAGAAAATTATAGTGACGACATGATTGATGGGCATACTGATGATGACGATGATGATAATACGATATAAAGATTGAAAATGATGATGACAGCGATACCGTGACAAGGTGGTTTTTTTTCTTCAAATGACGACGCAGATGACAAGGTCGGGAATAAAATAGAAGATGATAGTGATGACATGGCCGATGGGCGTAATGATTATTCTGATTGTGTTGGTAGTAGTGATGAAGAATGGTGGCAATGATGATGATGATAATGATGATTATGATGATGTTGATGAAAATATGTTGATGATAATCATGTAATTTATGAAGATTATGAAAAAAAATTCAAATCCTCATCAATGTCACAATTAAATAAGTTACACGTCAGACCCGCATCTCAGACTTACTTACACGTCATGTTGACATTTTGTTTTAGATGGCGCTCTTTAAAAAAGCTGTTTGGTGCGTTAAGATCTATTTTGGCAAATCAAAGCTATTTTGCCCTATACGTAACCCACGGAAATATATCATATCGATTACTCTACTTGAACTTAGATCATCAAAATTATCAACTTAATTGACACTTCTATTTGCATTAATTCATTTTCCTGTTCATGATTCCATAATGCCATATTTTTTAATTTTGTTTAGGGGGACGGGGTGGCCTAGGTGGCGGGGCAGGCGGGGGACTGCAATGAGTGAACAAAGCACACGAATGGGTCAAGAATA